CGGTGCCCTCGGTGCCCTCGGTGCCCTCGGTGCCCTCGGTGCCCTCGGTGCCGGCAGGAAGAACCAGAGGATGTCAACGAGTCCGGCATCGTGTATGGGAAGAGGTGGGGGACGATGGCGGCGATTTCGGTGCCGGTAGGGGCTGGTGGGCGGGTTTCGAAGATTCCCATATGGAGCAACCACGGATGGAAGAATGCTACCTTCGGGAGAGTGTGGCATGCCTCACTTGCGGCCATTTTGAGATGGTGACCGATCCATTTCCTGGAAACTGAGGATTGTTGCCTTAAGGCACCCTGATGTCCCTCGAATTCTTCAGTCGCACAGAACAGACTTGATTCTGCACCACTACAGAACATGACATGGACGCAGTGCTCTATGGTTCTCTCCACTCCCTTGGGGTATGCCGGTCGAAGCTTCCAGTCGAGGACGTCCAAGTCGAGGACGTCCAAGTTGAGGACGTCAACCCAGTCAACCCCAACAGAGGTTGAAGGACCCTATACCAGCACCTTCCAACAGGTCTCCTTTGGAGGGTTGTTAGGCCCTACAGGCAAAAGACAATGTCGTCACTTTTTTTGAGTGATTGCTACCCTGCCTTGGGGGGAAGGCTCTGCGGAAAGTCGTCTCTTTTTCCCTTCACAAGCGAACTCTGTTGGTTGGAAAGGGACCTACTGTTGGGTTATATGTTAACAATCCATAAAGGGTTTGATGTAAGCATTAGCAGGCATTCATCATGAGTGGAAGGCTAGTGGATTTGTGTTTTTCGGTTGTTAATATACTCAGGTTCGCCTGCTGTTGATGCACCGGTGCTGTGTATGATATGATATGATATGATATGATATGTGCTCTTTAAGGGCAAGCAGATAGTGGACATCAAGAGCAGGCATTGGAAGATCCATTGCCTGCACCTGGGAAGGGAGCTACTACAAGTGAAGAAAAGATTGTGGAAGAGGCTGTGGAGTTTGATTTGAACGAGCCTGACGGCTGCATCAATTACATCGTGGCATGCTTCCCTGTGGCTGAGAGGGATGGTGTCATTCCCATTGCCACCTTCTATGTTGACAATGAGTTGCGGAAGAAGACTGGTAAGGGCCATCCGCTCTGGGAAGTATTTCGGATGAACGTGATCAGTTCCAATGTGCTAGGCAGCAAGCAAGCCAGAAAAGCATGGCTCTCTGCATGGTCTTCGAATCGGTCCAACCGGTTCGCCAAACCTCCCAAACCCAAAACCTGACACGCACAGATTTTGCACGAAAAAAAGTGGAGAGAGCTTGGGCGCACAGGTCATTTCCATAACGTTTATATAGAAAGATTGTCATTCCCATGTGTCGAATGACTGTCATTCCCTGTGTCTACAATTCCCAGAGCATGTCTGAGCATCACCTCCTTTTTAGAGCGTTGTTCGGGAACGAAGTGTGAAGCACGTGAGAGTTGTGCCGCAGTGCCGATGAATTCCATCACATCGCAGACTTTTGGTTTTCGTGGAGGAGCTGTCTGGAACATTCCCCATATACATACAGTAGATATCCTTAGCCCCTACCCTGGTTATGTGGCCACAGACTCTGTTTTGTCAACAAACTATTTCTACAGCGTTCCATTGGGATTGGTGTGCAGTAAACGTATGTAAATCAATCAAAACCACACTCTTTTGGAACTAGCGTTCCATTGGTTGTTGCACTCTTTGGGTTTACTTTTTGGGTGATAAGTGTTGTTTGGGTATCAGCGTCTCCCGGGGGTGACTGGGGGATGACTTTTTGGAAACAGCGTTGCCATTGTGATTTGGCATTGAAACAGTGACCAGGGATGACTGAGGGATGACTTTGTCAGGTTCCTGTAACAGGTTTCAATTGGTGACCTGTTGGAGGTGCTGGTATATGCTAATTATGTAGTATCATAATTGTTATATAGTATCTATATATACTATATATATATATATAGGTACCCCAGCGGGGTCCTAATGATAAGGTCACTTAATCTCTTGGCCATCACTGCCATCACCGCACGGGTTCGGCGATCGCTTCAGCCGCGCGGGGTTCACCCGCCCACACCGCCCACACCTGGCCGACCGGGCCGGACCGCGAGCGCAGCGAAATCGCAGGAGTGCAGAGACCCTGCCGAGATCTCAGTCTGGGCTGGTCGATGGTTTGGTGTATGCGTGCGTGCCAGGCGTTCTGGCGATGGGTGAGAGATCAAAAAACAATTAACGTATCAATAAAAACATATTCTACACGCATCAATAAAAAAATACTGACTCAAAAAAACATACTGTATTCCAAATAGCAGTAGCAGTAAGAGTAGCAACAGTACCATAATAGCAGCAGTATCGTAGTGGTAGTCGTAGTGTTTCGTGGCAGGTGCAGTACTTTGTGGACCTTGCAATGCACATTTCGTGGCAGGTGCAGGACTTTGTGGATGTTGAAGTGCAGAGTTGGTGGCCAGTGGCAGGCGCAGGACTTTTTGTGGACCCTGAAGTGCAGATTTCGTGGCAGGTGTAGTACTTTGTGGCCCTTTGGAGTGCAGATTTCGTGGCAGGCGCAGGACTTTGTGGACCTTGAAGTGCAGATTTTGTGGCAGGTGCAGGACTTTGTGGCCCTTGGAGTGCAGATTTCGTGGCAGGCGCAGGACTTTGTGGATGTGGAAGTGCAGAGTTGGTGGCCGGTGCAGGACTTTGTGGGCCTTGGAGTGCAGATTTCGTGGCAGGCGCATGTGGAAGTGTAGAGTTGGCGGCAGGTGCAGGACTTTGTGGGCCTTGGAGTGCAGATTTGGTGGCAGGCGCAAGACTTTGTGGACCTTGAAGTGCAGATTTCGTGGCAGGTGTAGTACTTTGTCGATGTTGAGCTGCAGATAGACAGATACAAAGATAGAAAGATAAATGGATCGATAGATAGATAGATAGATAGGTAGATAGATAGATAGATAGATAGATAGATAGAGGAGGCATATTTGCTTGGTTAGAAAATTTTGCACCGGGGAGTTCACCTCAAAATACTGATTTCGTGGCAGGCGCGGGTGTCGGGGATGAAGTGCAGATTTCGTGGCGCGGGGGGGTTGGGGGGGGCGCAGCGCCCCCCCCAGCAGACCAGATCCAAAGGTGAGCAGCTCGTGCTTGCTTGCTTGCTTGCTGGCTTGCTGGCTTGCTGGCTTGCTTGCTTGCTTGCTTGCTTGCTTCCTTGTTTGGTTTCGTCTCTGCAAAGCGAGCAAAAGGTAAAAGCAAAAACAAAAAAGAGAAAGGAGAACAGCTGCGAAGAAAGAAAGAAAGAAAGAAAGAAAGAAAGAAAGAAAG